GTTCGAGGGACTTGGGGGGGTGTTTAACCCCGAGCGGTGGAGCGGCCCCGCAGCCCTGCCCCGCCGGGGCTGGCGAGGGGGGACGTCCCGTGGGGACCCCCGCCGGCCGCGGGTCTCCCCCGGGGATCTTGGCTCTGCCTTCCCGGCAAGGGTGAGCGGCCAGGAGGCGATGGCGGGCGGAGAGGTGATGGACAGGGAGACGGAGGACAGGAGGTGACGGACGGGAGGCGATGGAGCGGGAGATGACGGACGGGAGGCGATGGACAGTGAGGCAATGAACAAGGAGGTGATGGACAGGGAGATAGATGGTGGACAGGGAGACGAAGGACCAGGAGACGGCGAACAGGGAAATGATGGGCAGGGAGATGAAGGACTGGGAGACGATGGACAGGGAGACGAAGGACCGGGAGATGATGGACAGGGAGATGAAGGACCGGGAAACGGTGGATGGGGAGATGAAGACTGGGAGACAGTGGACCAGGAGCCAGGCAGGTGGAGGGCTCTGGACCCTGCAGGCCATCCCAGGCACCACCCTGGGGCCCTTCCCAAACATTCCCCTGAAGCAGGGTGTTTGGCATAACCAGCATATTGGGGGGAAAGTCCCTTTTTCTACGGGCTGTTGAGCTTTCATCTGGAAACATGGGGGTTTAAATCCCTTCAAAATTTGAGGAGAAGCTCATTTCCTGAGACTGGGGCAGACAGAGGTGCTTCCTCTGCAGGTGCCGATGGAGTAATTTCCCCCTCAGCACCCACCCTAGCAGTTTGAAAACTATATATAAAGCAAATAATATTTCCTTAAGTAGCAAGTAATAGTTCCCTAGCCTCAAAACTTGAACAGAAACCTCTCCATGCAGCTCGCCAGAAACTATTAACAAGCCGTAATCAATTCCTAATTTTGCTAACACTCTTCAGAAATAAATGACTGCAGGAGAAAGCAGGAGGAGGCTGTTCCCGCGCCGAAGAGCCTGGGCTGCGCTATGCTGCGTCCTTCCCGCGTGACCTGGGGCCGGTTTCTCTGCACTGCCCCGAGCTACTGATTAACTCCAACAGGGAGCAAGGGAGAAAATTAACATTTCTGCTCTCTGGGCTAAAGGAAACGCTCCGACAAAGCCAGACCTTGCGAACCGTTGTTATTAACATTGTTATTATTAACGTGTTTGTTACCATTAACGTGGTTGTTGGGTTTGGCATGATAAAAGAAAATAACCAACAGAGGTTGATGGTACCATCTTCCTAAAATGTGCCCCAAATATCCCAATATATTCATTTCGAGCTGCATGTGGGATACCTCGCTCCACGGGTTAAACATCAGCTCATTTAGATCACCTCCATCCTAAGGAGGGTCTTCCCAAAATCCCCGCTGCCAGAACAGTCCGAATGTTTTCTCATAACTCTTATGTTCCAGCGTAAACCTGCGTTTGGCTTCTACTGCGACAAATTAACGGGTTATTGCCTCTGTTGCCCAATTAATGAGAAGGAAATGCTGCCTCCTGCGCGTCTCACCTGCGTCGTGTTTGATTTCGACAGGAGTCCCAAAATCCGTAACCCCTTTGGACCTCGACCGGGCGGTCTCGCTGCGGGCGGGGTCCCACAGTTACCGTCCCGCCGGCCGCAGAAAATAATACAGATAGGAAATCCAGACCCTTCGGTCAATCCACAAATTAAAGAAAAAAAATAGCCAGGGTTCTCGCTGCATGGCAGCCTGCCCAGCTCTCGCTCTCGCTAGTCGGTCTGGCTCATACACCGCTCTTTCTTGGGGCCCAGGGACGGGGCGGGGGGGGATAAGAGAGGAAAATGGAAACAGAGCCTGCACACAATATTTCGGTATTGAATTTCCTGATGAGATACCGAAATCTGGGAGACAGCTCGAGCGCTCAGCCCTGCAGTGGTGTGAGAGCGAGCTATAAAATACAGTGCAATATATCTCAGCGGTACCATTCATCATCCGAAAGCAACTTATTACCCTTTGGCACTGGCTCCGACCAGTCTGCTCACAGCCCTTGTCGGACGTGGAGAGCGACGGGGGCCAGCGGGAGCTGCCGGCTTTGAATCTCTCCCAGTAATTCAGATAAAAGAAGGCAAAAGGTTGTTTGGCTCTGCCAGAAATCATCGCCCCGTTACCCATGCTTACGAGAGGCAAGTGGCATATGAAGAGCTTTATTTTTCCTCTTCTGACAGCAGCGGCTTTTTCGAATTAACACCCTCTTCTTTCTGCAGCACCCAGTTAAATTTCCTGCCTGGAATGTTACCAGCTGGGTGGAGGGCAGCGCCTTAGGACAAGCATCCCCCGAGCCTGAGGTGCCGGTTCGCTTCTTGAAGGCGAATCGCACGGCGGAAGACGAGCCAAGTGCTGATCCCTGTGCCTGATTGCAAGGAGAAAGCCCCGAGAGGTTGTATTACAAAGCTGATTAAATGGTATTGCTCGTTATCGGAGGCTGCTGCTGAGAAGCTCGGTACTTGGGACACTAATAAAAGAACGTGTTTAATCCACCTTTTTAGCTAGTGATGAATACGTTGCAGAGGGTGTTAAAGGAACCACTAGTTTTCCTTTGGCTGTTCCGGAAAAAGACATTTCTAGTTTCGATAATCCTGGTAGAAGCAATTCCTTACAAAGCACAGGTTTGGGGGGTCCCACCAGAAATGTAACTGGCCCACGCGTTCACTGCATTTACTGGAGAACGGAGAAATCCAAACCCCAAAGGCTCGGGCTGATTATTTGCCCGTTCCTCTCTTCCTCGCCTTACACAGAGTGCGTTGCCACCTAAAATACCGCCATCTTGACCCAAGAACCGGCGGCTCTTTACATCCCCTGTACCACGACAAGTCCTACGAATGGTTCGCTCGCTAAAATAACCATCTCCCCCCCCCGCTCCGAAAAAAGTCACTCGGCGGCTTTCCTGGCTTTCCTGAGCGCCGTTTTTTCATACGTGTCCCTTTCTCCCGGAAGCTCTCAAGCCCCCAGCCCGCCAAGAGGGAGGTTTGGGACATTCCCCGTTTTACTGCGGTCCTGCCGCTGCTCCCGGAGCAGGGCAGCGTCCTTCGGGGCACGTTCCCAGTCCCAGAGCTCGCCAGGTGACGGGCCGAGCCGCCTGCCAGCACCTCCGCTCGGGGGATGAGCAGCCCTCCCGCATTGAAAGGGCTGATACTCCAAGAGCGTCGCGCTTCATGGCAACTCGGTGCGTATGAAAGTCATCGCCTTTCCTCCCAATAGTGTCCCCAGTTACTGAGGAAGTCGCTGATCCGCAGCATTGGGTCTTTGCAACCCGTTGGCCCTGGTCCCGCTCCGGGGGATGAAGTCGTGGACTCGTTTTTACAAGGAAGCAGTGATTTTCGTACCCCATTTTGATGCCGCGTGGGAGAAATAAAGACTTTCCCCCACAGAGCTGCAGATAAAAACAACTCCGCAACTCCCTTTTGCTTCTTGAGGAGCTTTGGTTCGTGCATCAGACGCGAGGCCACGCGACGCTGGTCTCAGCATCTCGCCCGGCACCTCTGCAGCAGCAAACAGGCCCGAGGTGTCTTTGTAAACCGGATCACAAGGGGCTTTTTAGGGAAAGTGAAGCACTTAGAGAAAAGAAAATATCTTAAGTGGGCCTACGTGCGTGTTTATTTTACGCGGAGCCCCGCCACGTTCCAGCGCTGCGCAAGGTGGGTCTGATGGCGGGTGCCCTGGCACGTATCAGGGTTTCGGACCAGAACTGGTGCTGTTCGCAGCCGCTGACCAGCCCCGTCCTTCCCCAGCCAGCGATTTCATCAACGGTCCGTGGTTTACCCCCCGCCTGCAACCCCAGCAGAGCAGATCCGTGAGGAAACGGGAAGGGACGTTGTCGCCGCGTTACCCCCAGCGGCAACCCCTGCTGCCGCCGCAGAACAGTTTGATGACAACGGCAAAGCCGCCAGCGCGATTTGGGGGTTCGTTGGCGGGGCTGGCACGTTTGGGGGCAAAGAGGTAATAACTGAGCGTCAGATCCAACGGGGATCCCAGATCCACCTACCCGCCAGCGTGCGGTTGTTTTCTGCTGGTGTGAAGGGGTTAAAGGGAAAGAGCAAAGCACCTCTTCTTTCCGGCAATTATTTCTTTCAAAAAGCTTGGTTTTATTACTTTCATTAAAGCGCCACGGGGAAGAACAACAGGGCCGGGCGTGGTGTCACTCAGATACCATCTTTAATATCCGCGGGAGCAGGAGTTCGCGCTGCCCGGAGCGGTAGGGCTGTACGTCGTAACCGCGCGAAGAAATTCAGCCTGCTCCCTCCGCGCCCACACCAAGGCTTTGTCACCGCAGCCGTGTCCCTGCGGCTGTCGCTCGTCAGTCGGAAAGGACGGGGACGGGTCACAAGGGGAGGGTGGGTGAAGAGCCAGCGGCAGTTGCGGTGTTTCTCCCGATACCGCCAGAACTAAAGGGCAACGCCCCACAGTCTGGGCACCAGGCGGAACCACGGGGCGCCGGGAGTGACAGCCGCTGCGGCGGGGGGCAGCCGCTGCGGCAGTGGGGGCTGTAGCGGTGCGGTCTGTAGCGGTTTCGTGGGGTGGGGTCGTGGGGTGTTGGTGATGCAGGGGTTGTTAGGGAGGCCATGGTTCAGCTAGAGGTTGTGTTGGGGTGCTGGGGGTGGAGCTGTAGGGACTGGGATGGTGTGGGGTAGGTGCAAGTGTAGGTCCAGGTGAAGGTCCAGGTGAAGGTATAGGTGCAGGTGCGGGTGCAGGTGCGGGTGCAGGTGCCGGTGTAGGTGCAGGTGCCAGTGCAGGTGCAGGTGTAGGTGTAAGTGCAGGTGTAGGTGCCGGTGCAGGTGCAGGTGTGGGTGTAGGTGCAGGTGCAGGTGCCGGTGCAGGTGCGGGTGTAGGTGCGGGTGTAGGTGCAGGTGCGGGTGTAGGTGCGGGTGTAGGTGCAGGTGCGGGTGTAGGTGCGGGTGCAGGTGCAGGTGTAGGTGTAGGTGC